GAGCGAGGAATTGTGTTTGCATTTACTCTTTTGATCCTTAAGCTTACTAATGGTGTTCCTTTTGTTGGCAATACCTTTTAAAATTTATTCTATGAGGTTTTAAGGCACTTCTGTGCAACTGCTACCATGCTAGGAAATACAAAGGAGTCAATGGTGTCTCTGATGAAATGCCTTTGATGAATAAAGCAGCCTTTGGTGGGATAAACAAGTCATTACACTGAGACTAGAAGTATCAACAGAAGCACAATCTATTCACTGCTCCTTTGTGGAAATTAGCCAGATAGTAGACTACAGCTGCGTCAATTATTCTTGTCTTATACACAATTTTTTCTGGTGCTTACGTGACCTTTACGCATCTGCCTGTATGTAACAGAGCTTCTTAAGAACATAAGCCTCTAAGCTGTCTTAGTTACCCATTTCTGAGGCCAATTTAGAAACACCTTGCATTAGTAATTGCTTTATAAAAGTTTTTGATGAAGAGAAGGAGGAAGAGGATGAGAGGAGGAAGAGAAAGAAGGGAAAGGGGGAAATGATTGGGACTGACTGCTCTGCCTCCATGTTCAAGGAACCCCTTCCCCCCCAGACATATCATATGGAATCTAGGAGTTTTGTGTAACAAGATTTGAAAATCACTCTTACAGATTGTTTTCATTCGTTTAACAGTTGAAGGAACCAAGACTTGGAGAGGTATAGTGACTTGCACAGAAAATCATTGTTAGAGACAAGAATCAAATTCAGATTGTTTCCTGAATCCTAATTGGCATTTTCTGAACCCACAGAGCCAAGCTTTCTTGTTTAGTTGTAGCCAAACTCTGACCCTCTCCAAGGAAGGCCTTTCAAAGGTGCCAGTCCTGTCTTGTCCCCTGAAGGCAGCCTGTTATCCATCTCATAGCAGATCTGTGATGCTGTAGTGAAAGTCTGTCTGGGTTAATTCTGTTCATCTTTGTCCAAGGCACTGTACAGCTTGGCTCTGAAATGTCCTGCACGGAAACTTCTATTTTCGCCATCCAGAAATATCAGAGGGGGCTGAGGTGATGCATTTTTATTGTACGGACTAGTTAGAGAAAAAAAAAATCTTTCATCTGATTGGAGATGGAATCTCAGCATTTTGAACCAAAGGCAAGAGAGTGCTTACTTCCTTCCCTTCTCCTTCCCTTCCTTCCCTTTCCCTTCCTTTCCTTCCCTCCCTCCCTCCCTTCCTTCCTCCCTTCCTTCCTCCTCCCTTGTTTCTCTCTCTCTCTCTCTCTCTCTCTCTCTCTCTCTCTCTCTCTCTCTCTCTCTCTCTTCTCTTGCCTGAATTAAAGTGAGAAAGTGAGGTCAAAAAACAGATCTTAGGGTGGAATTGGCTGCAACTTAGTTTAGACATGTTTACATAACATTCAGAAAATAACTCAACAAGAATGGGTTTTTCTTGGAATTTATCACTGCCCAGCAAGAAATGAGCGCCCAAGCACAACAACCCTGCGATCAAAAGTAATGAGGACTAGTGAGCAAAGATGACAGTGGGCAAAGAGAGCCCAAAGCCAGGGGGCCAACTTCATTTAGTGTGGAGCACAAAGACAAACAAAAAGATAGGAGGTGGTGATACATACTAGCTGACATTTTCTAAGAGTTCTTGTGACCAGTTGGCCAAAATGGCTGGTTGAGATCAGCTTTAGCTTACCTCATAAATCTCTGACGGATGACTGCAAAACATGGAGAGAGTGCATTAAGTGGAAGTAGCATTGTTTTTGTTTGTTCTCTCTCTCTTTGTCTCTGTCTCTCTCTCTGATTCTGTCTCTGTCTGTCTGTCTCTGTCTGTCTGTCTCTGTGTAGGTGGAGGGAAACTATTAGTACCTGGGTCTTTATTCTTTCTTTGGCACTGCTTCACTGTGTGACTGACCCTTTGAAAATGATTTCATTTCTTTGGGCCCTGGTATCACTGTCTATAAGATGAGGGAAGATCAGTTCCATTTCTTATTACCTTACTGAGACATGTCATGAATGAGAGAGACCGTAGGTTCTAGAGCTACAAGGCACCTTAGATATCAACTAGTCTAATTCCCACAGTTTACAACTGAGGAAAATGAGACCTGGAGAGGGAAAAGTGACTCCTAAGGATCACACAGGTGATAAGGGCCATGAGCTGGGATTTAAAAGTAGGTCTTCCAATTCCAAATCTTAACTCTTTGGCAAGGTGGCATGGTACAACCCTGGTCTACCATACATGAACTGGAAAAGTACTTTGCTACTATTGCTTAAGCCCATGGGACCCAAGGAGAAAAAAACTGAATCTTTACTCCCATAGACAATAAAGGGTAGAGAAAGGTGGGGTTAGAAACTCATAAAACAAAGGGGAGACTATCTATGGAGACATATGAGCTGGGAGTCAGCTCCCGCTTTAGCTCCTTCTTTGCTGGGACTCAGCCTTTACCAGTGATTAAGCAGATGGAATATTTTCTAACCCTGAACATTTCACAGTCGTCTTGATGAATAGCCCCCATTGTAGACAGTCCTGAAGGCAACCTCCACCCTAGTTCCTGCATTCCCATCTGGATATAAATCTTGCCATTCCCCTTCCCCCCTTCCCTCCCACTCATCTCACCCTCAGCCCTAGCCCCTTCACCTCCCTTCTCTCTGTGGAAAACTAGGAAGCTGTGAAATAAATCATCCTTGCCTAGCTGAGCAGAGGGAGAGTCACCCAATCCATAACCACCTCACAACTCCCTTTGCCAAATGCTGAGTAAAATGAAAACCATTCTGGCCTCTGGAACAGACCAGCATTGTGTACCAGGAAAACTTGCTGTCAGATGGCTGGGATACCTATTGGAAATGGTGTCTCTAGGAATTACTACCACTCCTCCCCCCTCTTTCTACTTTCAGTCCCTCTCCCTTCCAGGAATGTCAAGTAAATGATGATTTAGATATGTAAATTTCCAACTCAATTGGCTAAAATTAATTATACTGGAGTTCCCTCTAGGTTCAACCAAGCATAAGACAAAAAGTAAAGTCAAGTGTTCTGAGGGAAGAGTAGGGCAGAAGATGGTGGATGAGGGGAGACTTCTGTAGCAGCTAAGATAGCAGGTTAGACCTTCAACCCAGGCATATGGTTTGGCCTGGCCTTGGGGGAAGATTGAAGGAACCAGTGAGAGAACCCACTACCTCAATGATCGAGGGGATTATGGAGAGTTTAGCTAGTGCAAGGAATTAGAAGCAGGGTGAAACAAAGTAGAAAAGGCATATTTCTTGTATACCAGGAGACCTGGATCAGTGAAAGGCTAGGTATAAGAGAAGGAGCAGAGTCATTCAAGACTAGGACCTTGTCCCTTGGGCAAAGTGAAACTCTGCACCTTTTCACTGTACCTGTAATCACTGATCACTGAATGTAGCTTTCATTCTTGTGTGTTCTCTTATTGACACAAAATTATTTTGGTTGTACTCAAAGTTTGCTACTCAGGGAAGATATGGGAGATTAAAAAAAAAAGGCTACATCCCTGGAACCTCAGTGTGAGGCAAAGAACCCCAGAGGATTGTCCAGCTTAGGGGGCAAACAGTTTGATTCATTCAATCAACATGAAGTTATTAAGAGCCTACTATGTGTCAGGCACTGGGGAATACAAAGATAATGAAGGCCACAATTCTTATTCACAAAGCTTGTACCCTAGAAGAGAAGGTAACAACTACAAGCATATGCAGAATAACCATAAAGTGATTAAATTCAAAATGATTAATTATGAGGTAGCTGGGGAAGGAGCATACTGACAATTAGGAAGACTAGGAAAGGCTTTGTGAAAAGTTGGTACTTGAAGGAAGCGAGAATTTTTTTTTTTTTTAGTGAGGCAATTGGGGTTAAGTGACTTGCCCTGAGTCACACAACTAGTTAAGTGTTATTTGTCTGAGGTCAAATTTGAACTCAGGTCCTGCTGACTCTATCCACTGAGCCACCTAGCTGCCCCAGTGAGCATCATTCTTGAATGAAGTAGAGGTGAAGAGGTGATAAGAACACTCTAGAGGTGGAGACAGATGATAGGGTGGAACATAAGGAAAAGAAATGGCTAGTTTGATTGCAGACTAGAGTGGATGGGGTGAGGTGATGTATGGGACTAGAAAAATATGTAAGGGACAGGTTGTGAAGGGCTTTAAAAGCTAAACAGTAGAATTTGTATTTTATCCCAGAGGCAATATGGAGCCATTAGAGTTTGTTAGATAGACGTAATGGCCTTGGAGTCAGGAGTACCAGAGTTCAAATCCAGCCTCAGCTGGGTGACCTTGGGCAAGTCACTTAACACTATTTGCCTCAATTCCTCATCTATAAAATGAGCTGGATAAGGCAATGGCAAACCACTCCCGTATCTTTGCCAAAAAACAAGAAAGCAAGCAAGCAAACAAACAAAAAAACCAAAACCCAAATGGGGACGTGAAGAGTTGGACATGACTGGAATGACTCTGTAACAATAGACTTTGTCCAACGTGGTCCGATCTGAACTTTAGGAAAATCACTTCCTCACGTCACTTGTATTTCTGTCAAAAGCAGTGTTCTCTTCCCCTTTTGAGAAGGGTGTTGTCAGGTCTATAAGGATAAGCTTAAATGAAATTATGGAATCTTCTCCAGTCCTGGAAATTTTAGGAATAGGACAGAGAATTGTTTGGAATACATATAACTTAAAATTTATTTTATATGTATTTTGTTTCTACTTACATGATCCTCTCCTCCCTGTACCCCACTCCCTAGAATACAAACTCCCTGAGGTCAGAGGCTACCACATTTTTGTCTTTGTAGCCACAGAACGTATCATAGTGAATTATTGTAATGTATCAGGTACTTAATAAATGTTGGTTGCTTGGTTGATTGATCGACTAGGGTAGGTATGATATTACAAGGATACAGAGCCATGAATGACCTAAACTTTATACCTCTTCAATAAACCCTGGAAATGAAGTAGAAAGGCACAAACACGGAAAGATAATTGAATTTGAAGGAAAAACAAAACCAAAAATGCCCTGTATTCTTTGCTACTTACTCTAGGCCAGGCTACTTGCTACCTCTGTGTCCGTTGAGTGAGTCACTGAGTTTCCCTAGTCCTCAGTTTCTTCATCTGTGAAAAAAAGAGTGGGACTAGAAGACCTTTAAGGTTTTTTTCCAATAGGTCCTATGAACCCACTCCTCACATAACTGATGAAGTGTGAAGGGTGTCAGGGGACTAGAAGGAGAATGAAGACTAGAAGATCCAAATGGCTACTCATCTCACCTAAAGGTAAATGTCACAATCTACTTCTGGTCTTTTGGAGAAACAAACAAGGAAGAGTCTCCATATCTTTCTGTTTTAGAATACAAGTTCTGAGAGGGAAAATATTATCTCACATTCACTATGGCATCATATGTATGTCAGACACATTAAAAACAGCACTATCTGATTTCTCCACCTTGCAGATTAGAAACAAAAAAAGAAATCTATATGGATTTCCCCACGAGTGAGAGAGTTGGGCTATTTTGATTCTTGTGTTACAGAGAAGTGAATGGTGACTTTGCTCCCACAAGTACCCTCCAAGGGGGCATCAATGTCTCCTACAGGATCAGGATGAGGCTCTTGCCCTGAATATCCCTTCTTCGGGTTGTTCTTAATCAGTTTTGGAGAAAGCCAGAGACAAGGTTTTAAGTATGGAGTAGCCTTATGCTGACTCTAGGGGAGATTTGAAAGACTACAAAATTTCCAAATATTTTCTTTGGGCAAAATGGAAAAATTGTTAGGGTCATGGATTCCAGGTTGCAAGACCAAAAAAAAAATAGGAAATGTGAAGGCTAAGATTTTTGCCAATTAACTCACCCTCATGACTCATCCCAGATGTATTAAGGTATTATATTTAATAGGCTGCCTCTTCATGGAAAAGACTACATACCATTTATCCACAGAGGATGAGTTCATGTTACACTTACAGCCTTTACATTTGTACTTCCTAATTCTTTTGTTCAGAAATACATCACCTTTAGGTTACAGTGATGCCTGTGTTTGGAATGTTATTTCCTTGCTCAAGGAGGAGGGAAAAAATAGCAAAATTCCAAATGACAACTCTTGAGTTGTGCAATGTTCTTGGATCACAAGAAGTTTGCTTGGGACATATGCAGCTGCCTGAACTGTCTCTATTACCGGGATTCTTTGTGTCAGATTCTGTTATTCACCAGTGTAGCCAGATTCCAAGTCCTCATTAAAGACCAGCCCATATGCAAAGCTGCAAATGTGGCATACCTGCAGCCTCAATATGTCATTTTCTGCAAGTGTCTCAAATAGATTGCTTCTCCCTACCCCCTTTCTATGAGAAAGAAAACAATCTCTTTGGCTTGTGTATGGGCCTTCTGGATCAAATGGAAATAACTTTGGGGGTAATTTGGGAAAGAACATTTTGGGGGGAAGGGAAGAAGAGGAATGTTTTCTTTTCTCCTTCACAAAGACATTGTAAGGATATTGGGGTTGGGAGGGAGCACTGTGTCACCACTTGGTCTACCAATGTTCCCAGGGTCCAAAGTGTCCATGCAAATGAAATAATAACAATAATATGTATATATATGTATATCTATCTATCTATCTACATATAGATAGATAGATATACATACATACACACGTATATGTCTGTTTCTCTGTCTGTCTATCTATCTATCTGTTTAGATATAGATAGATACAAATGATACATATACAGCTTTGTCAGCTCAGGTGCTTATATCTCCATTTAACAGATGAGAAAACCAAATAACCATGAGAAGTTAAGTAACTTGCCCAAGCCACGCAATTGATAAATGTTGGAGCCCAGACTCAGACCTAAGCCTTCTGACTCCAAATCCAGTGTTCTCTGCACAATACTACACAGCCTCAGACAAACTCACAATGCCAATGATTTGTCTGGAGAGTGGAAGGAGTCAGAAGATGATGGGAACCACTTTTGATCCCCAATTCTGTCACTTTTCTCACTGTGCAACCTTGAGATAGGTCACTTAATTTCAGTGGGCTTCATTTAGCTGATGTGTGTAAAGAGCAAATTGGAGTATATGAAGAGACAGTAAGGTATCTCCCAGCTCTAACATTCCTGGGTTCTATGAATATACACATGGTCCATTTGAGGGAGTTGAGTTTTAGAACATTATCTGGGGCCTCATGAAGGAGACACCTGAAGGACAACTATTGTGGATTTCCTTGAAGAAAAATGACAGGGGTGTGTGTGTGTGTGTGTGTGTGTGTGTGTGTGTGTGTGTGTGCATGTGCCCCGTGCATGTGGTTGAGAGTAAAAAGGATGAGGGAGGGGATGCAAAAGGATGCTAGAGTGATACTGAGATACGGGTCTCTGTAATTAAGAAGAATGAGTCACTGCCAATTACTCCTAGTCAAACTGCGACAGATATATGTTCCAAAGGAGAGAATGTAATGATCTTGGTTGCAGCTGACATATCTAATAATAATGGATCTGTTATCAGATGAGATTGCTTTAAGAATCCTTCTTTTTTGGTGGGATCAGCATAAAAGAGCTAATAGAGCTAGGAGGAACCTTAGAGGCTATTTTTCCTAGTCCTCTCATTTTACAGATGAAGAAACTGAGAGCCAGAGAAGCTTTGACCAAGATTCTACTGCATCAAATGATTTAGAAGCTGGACTAATTGCTTAAAGCCTTAATCAGGAAGGGAACTCCCAAGTTCCTTCCTGTTCTTATGCAGATAGACATAGGAAGTCTGTGGATAATAGATGGCTCAGGGAAGCCCCAGATCTCCCAAAACACATGAGGCTAACTCTAGTGGAGAGAGGAAAACACATTACATAACAGTAGAGGGCAAGGAGCAGAATTCCATGGGACCTGTTCATGTCCACAGAGGGTCATGGAACACTCCAGGGGATAGACCATACCATGAACCAAACTTTCATGATCTAGGAATGATAAGTAACTTTGGAGGACCTTATGAGAAGGGAGTGGCATTAGGGATGTGTCATTAAGATAATTCCCTGCTTACATAAGGTAGTCTTACTTGGCTATTATTATTATTATTATTATTATTATTATTATTATTATTTTTATTCATCTTACCTTAGACGCTTAATAGCTGTGTGACACTGGCAAGTTGTTGAACTTCCCTTAGCCTCAATTTTCTCATCTGTAAAATGGTGATAATAATAGCATCCACCTTCCAGGTTGCTGTGATATTGAAAATATAATTCTTCACCAACCTTAAAGTGCTGTATTAGTGTTAGCTATTGTTGTTATTTAGAAAATGGAAGGGATGGAAGAGGATGAAGGCCATCGGGAAGCTGTGGTGTGTACTTTTCTGAAACTCTTACCTCATAGTTACCAGTAAGGAGGTTAAAAAAAATACACTGAAGGATATTCAATTCTATCTGCCTCTCTTGAACACATACTAGGCAGCATGCCAGGGGACCAATCAGTACCCTCTGGAATGCCTGTTGGAGGGCAGAGCCAAAAGAAGGAACAAAGAAAGTGTGTGTAAGCAATGCACCTCTGACTCCTGAGCAATGCTGTTGACATTCTTTGATGGGGACAGTTCCCTTGTCCCCAGGTAGTAGAGATGGAAGCTTAAATGAGATGGAGAGAGAGAGAAGGAAAGAGAAGAGCCTTGTTGAGTTGTGTTACGCTTGCAGATTGAAATGCTAAGAATCCCCAGGGTGGGCCCTAGGTTGTTGACACAGAATGGAATGCCTGGGCAGTTCCCTATTTAATTGTTTGGCTGGCTCTCATTGGCTGGGCCTCCCTGACACCTTGTTGATCAACAGTAAGGCAGACATGCTATGAAAGGTTTGTTCTCTCTTTAAAAAAATCCCTCAAGCCACATAAAAAAAATATGAAGAGAGAGAAGAAAAAAAATCTCTCACCTTCCACATGTGTCATAGATTACTAAGAAACTTGGGCTCCTTTCAAGGATTATTTGGGAAGAAGGGTTGTGGTGGTAGCAGAGATCGAATTTCAGGAACGATAACTGGGAAGGTATACAGAAATCAAGTTATAGGAATAGTCCTACAATAACTTGGGCACCTGGGTCTTTTTCATTCTTTTCACGCTTTTAGTTTATACCCCTTTATGGTAGAAACAACATCTCCCAGCGTTTCTTCCATGTTGGTTAATATGGTCTCTCTCTCCCCTCCCCCCCTCCTCCGCAGTCAAAAGCAAAGAAGCTATCCCCTACTCTTGATTGGTCTAGGGGACTCACCATCATAAAAGAGGACAGACCATCATTGTTCCCTTGGCAGATGTCCCATTGCTAGGCAAGCCACTATACCCTGCTGACCAGATGTGTTTCCATAGATGAGGAGGCCACACCTACATAAGGCAGTGCTTTATTCTTGCTGGGTATCCTTTCACTTCTATGATTAAATAAACCCCTTATTTCTTAATTATTAGATGGCCTATGAGCATCTAATTTCCTTCTAGTCACAAACCTAAACTACTGGACTGGCTTGAGTTAAGCCTGCCATACAGCAGCACCCTATTATACTCACAATTATATTCTGTCTTATTCTTCAAGTGATTATGCTGAATCATTTATCATAGTATTCTATAGTTTTATCTCTTTTCATAATTTCATTCTTGTAGGCCATCTCCTTAGCAAGCGGTCATCTCTTTGATGGCAGGAGATGTCCTAATGTCTTTTGTACCCGTAGAACTCGAAATAATGCCAGACACATAGGAAAATTTCAATGAATATTTGTTGCTGAATAGAATGAGTTATTATTGTCACTTTATATAGATTAAGTACTCACTTGTACTTAAAAAAAAACCTGTAAAAAGTTACAGGATAGACTGAAAATAGAATCTTTTCCCCTAGGAGTTAAAATAATCAAATGAGATAAGGTATGTACAGTATTTTGCAGACCTTCAAGTGATACATAAAGCCTATTACTATTGTTTTTTAACTTTATCCTTCTCATCTTTTTTGATGGAGTTCAGACAGAAATTATCTGAAAACAAGTAAATAACGTGCTATTATTCTCTTATATTTTCTGATCTATGGATTGTGCAAATAGATAAAATGACTTTTGTTTTTTTCTAATCGAATAAGAGAATTGAGTTGAAAGCTTATCTTTTGAAGACTCATTGAAAGAATTTTCCAGATAACCCTAGCAACTGACAAGGATGGAAGTGATGACAGCTGCCTTGTTCTGATCCCACATGGTTTTAATTTCTTCTGTTAGGTCTCTGTATTTTGGAAGCTTTTCATTCTACATTGTTTGGAAATTAGGAGCATTCAATATGGCAACATCTTTTAAGAACACTGTTATTCAATGTATACAATAGCAATAACATTATAAAAATGAACACTTTTCAAAGACTTAAGAATACTTGTCTATCCGGCGGTCATCCCTGATGCCAGAGGACTGATGATGCGGAACAAAGCCTACCTCTTGACAGAGAGGAATTGGATAAAGAGGCAAAATGAGACACACATTGTGGGACATGCTCAATGTGGGGATATGGTTTTCATAACTACGTTCACCTGTTCCAAGAGTTTGGTTTTTTTCTTATTTTTGTATCTTTTCCCTTAATAGGAGTGGTGAAGAAGGGAGGGAAAATAAGTTATCGTTAATTTAAAACAAAATAAATTTAATTTAAAAAACCCACATTGTTCTTAAATCTTTCTGGATCAATGTTATATACTGGTGGTTGCGGGCAGTGGTTCTTTCTGTAAAAAAAATTCTGATTCCAGTGCAAGCTACTTGTTAAATTCTCAAGGATGTTGTGCAGTTTTCAGTGTCATTTTTTAGATTTTAAAGGATAGCAAGTTTCTGTATATAATTCTAGCCACCTGATTGTGTCTCTCTAGGTAATAACCACCACTGCCACAGCAACTAACATTTATATAAGACTTTACAGTTTGCAAAGTGATTTATAAATCTCATTTTATTCCCAAAACAACCCTGGGAAGTAGATACTATTGTTATCCATATTTTACAGATGAGTAAACCAAGGCAGACAGAACTTAAATGGCTTGTCTAAGGTCATATGGCTACTAATTTTCTGAAGCCAGATGTTTACTCATTTCTTCTTGATTCAAGGAACATAGCTGCCCAGGAGATGCTAAAATTTTGCAAATTGCAATGATGGATGGCAAAGTTTCCACCATTTTTTGCATCATCTGCATCAATACTGAAACCTACGCTCCCTAAGGATTATCTCTCTACAATTTCTAGTGGCAATGGCCCTATTCTGAATCAAGTACCATAACTATCTCTCTTCCTATAAACAGATCCACATGGTTCCACCATTTGTTTGATACATTGTCATTGATCTATTGTTAGATTTCACATGGATGTTGTCTATGCAGTGCTTTTTAAAACCGTATTATTGGTTTTAGCTAGTTTAATTCTCTTTCAGGATGTAAGCAACTTTGTATTACATTTGGCTCTTACTATTGCTTTGGAAAGTGAGGTCTGTTGTTAAGTTCCTACTATGTTCCAGACACTCTGTTATCAGCTTTACAAACATCTCATTGGATTCTCACAACAACCCTGTGAGGTAGGTGCTATTATTAACTTCATTTTGCAATTGAGGAAACTGAGGCAGACAGAAGTTAAGGGTCCCACAGCTAATGTCTGAAAGGCCAGATTTCAACTTGAACTCCAAGCCTAGTATTCTCTCTACTGTGCCATTAACTGAAAAGAAGTAGAGACAGCACAGATGACTTTCTCAGGGACTTTAGCAATGAGAGGCAGGAAATTTACAGGACAATAGCTAGTAGGATCAAGTGGGGACTTTTTAAGGATAGAGAAGATATAGGTGTGTTTTTAGGGAACAGGAAAAGAATAAATAGATAGGGAAATAAGTAGATAGGGAAAGACTGAAGGTAAGAAAGGTATCGGGAATGATAGAGGGGCAATCTGGTCTAGAAGATGGGAGGGTAGATGGTATCCAGGGTGCATAGAGGGGCTGGAATTGACAAGGAGAAAGGCCACTTCTTCATCCTCTTCATCTTCAGGACAGGAGTGAAGGATTAAATAGAGGAAGACATCTGAGTGATGTGAGATGAGGAGAAAGGGAAAAGGGGAACTTGTTAGCAAATGATTCCATGTTTTTGGTGAAGTAGAAAGTAAAGGTACTGTAGGTTATCAATTTCCAGTAGATAAGGTTATGTGGATTTCTGATTTGTGTTGGTGCATTTTGTCACTCTCCCATCCCCCATGTCAAGCTGATCATAAGGATGGGAAGGAGAAGGGCCAGTCTGCAACTCTACACTGACCAATCTATTTCTTAGATTCATAGAAATAGCTATATCCCACTGGGCAGAGAGTTAGCCCAATCAATGATCTCAACAGAGACCTACTGGCTAGCATTTACTTCCAACCTTCACAGCTACTGTAGTAGTCTTAGAGCACACAAAAGTTCCCATTGTATATCGTTCTGTCTGGCAGTTTCCTTCTTTAATTATCCTTCCCCCCCAACAAGAATGATGGACTGGACTTTGGGAGGTCATTATCATCATCACCACCACCATCCTCTTTCTCATTGTCATCATTGGCACTATCACCATCATTATCATCACTATTACTATTAAACATAGGGGAAAGAAGGGCAAACATTTTATATCTTTATGAGAAGAATTACATTGTAGTACAAGGCATGCCCACATATTTACACACATGCACAAATACCCATGCACATATATTTGTCAACAATTTAAAAAATGGTATTGGTAAAACTGATGAGAAGTAAGAGATGGAGGGAGAGAGAAAGGAAGAGAGGAGGGAAGGAAGGGAGGCAGTAAGAAAAACAAGGAGGAAAGAAGGAAGAAAGGAAGGGAAGGATGGAGGAAGAAAGGGAAAGAAAAAGGAAGGAAATGAGGAAAGAAATAAAGAACGAGGGAGGAGAGGAAGGAAGGAGAAAGGGAGAAAAAAGGAAAGAAAAAAGGAAGGAAGGAAGGAAAGGAAGAAGGAGAGCAAGAAAGAAAAATGGAATGGACATGTAGTTCAATTTAAAGTTTAATAATAAGCTAATATACAACAAAGTGAGAGAAAACATCTTCATGATATATGTACTTTTTGCACCTCTTATTTTGAGGGTTTTTTTGTTGCTTGATTCGATACTATTAACTGTTTATACTTCAAGGGAATATGCCTCAGTACCACAGCCTTAGAGAGCCCAGGATCCTTATCAACAAGACGTGAGGTGAAGCAGTAGCAGGTCTTTAGCAGAAACACATGAACATATATATCATCATTAGAGTAATAATAGCTTACATTTATCTAATGCCCCATGAGGTAGATAGATGTGGGTAGCTTTTTAATCATTTTTAAAGACAAACTAGAAACCAATGCACTCTATGTAGAAGAAAAATGTTATATTCATTAATTAAGGTCATATCTGTAGTTCTATAATTTTTTTGTTCACTGAAAGAAGAAGCAAGTCATTTCAGCCTATAGCAAGTACTGTGAAAGCTTCCCAACCTCAATGCTATCCTTGACTCTTTGCTTGTCTTCATCCCCCTCATTCAATCAATTGCCAAATCTTGCCATTTCTGTTTCTACAACCTCTCTCCAATATGTCCTCCTTCTCACCCAGTACCTGCTCTAATTCAGATCCTCATAGTTTCTCACTCAGATTCTCTGCCTCAAGCCTCTCCCCTATCTGATTCACCCTCAACAAAACCAGCAAAACAATTTTCCTAAAGTTTGGGTCTGCCCATGACACTTCTCCATTCAGTACATTTCAAAGGCTCCCAGTATCTCCAGGATCCAATCCATATGCCTCAGTTTCAAGCCATTCCCAAATTGACCCCTTCTTACACATTGCTTGTCACCCCACCCCCTGCCCCTCTCAACTCTGCCATCTGGCCATGATAGCTCATTCACTGTTCCACACGTGGAGTCCTCTGTGCCTTCACGCTGACTGTCTTCTTCACCTGGAATGCATTTGCTCTTCATTAGTGCCTTTTGGAATTCCTGGATTCTTTCAAGACTTGGCTCAAGCACTACTTTCTCCAGGAAGTCTTTTTCTGAATAACATCCCCAACCCCAGTTGCTGGTGCCTTTCCTCCCCAAACTACCTTGTATTAATTCTGTACACATTATGTATATACTTCTGCATTTTAATGTGGTTTCTCCCTATTTGAATATGAACTCCATGAGGGCAGAAACTATTTTATTTTTTGTCTCTATA